ATGAAGGAGGGTCTAGGCCCGAAACGTCAGCCTTCCTGCTCCTCTGATGCTACTTGGCCTGCTGTGTTCATCCAGCTCTACACCTTGTTATCCAAATAATATGTATATAACTTATACATATATGTGACAATTTGTGAAGATCTTGCTCTTTTCCCAGCAATATCTGATACAATTAACTCCAGTGAAATCTCACTTTTATCTTCACTGTTACATTTTTTACTCAACTGGCTGCATTGCCTTCAGTGAAATTCCAAATGTGATTCTTTCCATCTTTTCCAAAGATGCACATTTACAGGCTAACTTGCTGAACTGTAAGAAAAAAGATTTCTAGTTACTTGACTATTTTAAGGCTCCTAAACAGCTGGTATAGATCTTCTGAACTGAACCAGCTTTTGCCTCTCAGGCTGGGCGGTAAAAGCTCAATTTAGAAAACCCCTTTGGTAATTTTCTCACTGGATAATGTATCTAGTCGATTAGCTTCAGTCACATGATTTGTTGGAAATGCTGTTTGACCCATTGCTTAAAATGTCTCACAACCCTCCAAGAGAAAAAACATCTCTTGATCTCTGTTCTAAAAGGGCAACCCTTAATTTGAAAGAGTATCCTTAGCTCTGCTCTGAACCACAAAAAGAAGCATCAACCATGTCAAGAATATTCAGGATTTATGTACTTCGAGAGTAACTACTTTTCTAAACTTAAGAAGAAAAAGTCCAGCCTGTCCAACTTATCCTAATTAGACAACTCAGTCATTTCAAATATCAATGTAGGAAATCTCCTCTGAATGCCTACAATGTATTTGCATCCTTCCTGAAACAAGAAAACCAAAACCCCACATAGTATTCGATATGTGGTCTCACTAATGACCTGTATAACTGAAGCACTGCTTCTTTTCTTTGAGGTTCCGTTCTTCTAGTATCCCATTAGCCGCCTTGACAACGTGCTGCACCTGCACACTAACATTTTGTAATTCATGTGCTAGACCACAGAGATCCCTCTGCACCTCAGAATTCTGCAAATATTTCTCCATTTAAACAATATTCTGCTTTTTCATTCTTCCTGATACTCCATCTGCCAGATATTTTTGCCAATCACTTAATCTATTTATACCCATCTGCAACCTCCTTTTGTCTTTCTCACACCATATTTTCCTATCTGTACTGGTGTTCCTGAGGATAAATTATTTTGACAGCTGGAAGACTGAATGGTCATGGAGAAACTGAGAGGAAACATGAAATATATAGATAATGGAGCAATCAATAATAATTACCATTTAATTTAAAGTTCTATGTAATAATGTACAGAATAAATTTTCATAGCACTCATTAAATTTCCAAAATATATTAAGGCAGAATTTGACTTAATCACTATAAATCAATGGACCTGATAATGTGCGTTCTTACATAACATCCTACTGCTCTAAATCAGTGTAATCTACTCACAGAGCAACACCATGGGAGATTTCTAATATATAAAAGTATTTATTACATTTAATACAAATGTAATTTATTTATAATTTTCACAAGGGTATCAAAGTGGTTTGCAAAAAACATTTTGTATTTGATATAAATAATTTGATTTAATGCTTTTCTGTGAGTATAATCATTGAGCATTCTGAAGATAACTCATGTTTAAAAATTATGCTTACTTGAAATATATTTTCCCCCTTTTTTTTATTGTGTGGTACAGACTATGATAGCTTTTGATATGGATGGAAAAGTGAGAAAGCCAAAATTTGAACTGGATAGTGAACAGGTTCGATATGAGCATAGATTTGCCCCATTCAACAGCGTTCTCACTCCTCCACCAGTGCATTACCTACAGTTTAAGGTGGGTAGCAAGAGTACATCTTCATGTATATTATCCAATTGATTAACATTTCAATTCACCATGTGCAAAATGTTTCTGACTTGAGGTTCTGGCGCTCTCGCCACCCTCCCAGGCTTAACTCCCTATTAGGTACATCTAAAGCAGTCCTCTCTGTTTCTCATAGTATCCTCTGAAAGAGACATTATGAGCAGCAACTCAAGTTACCTCGTCTCACTCACGCACTCACTCACTGTCTCTCTCTCTCTCTCTCTCTTTCTCCAACTTCTTGCTCAGAAGGTCAGTTAGGAACTAATTTATCAATTTCCTTCATAGTTCATCCATCTGACTCCTAACACTGTGAACTCTTGTCAGCAAATAAACTTTTACAACCACTCTACACAACCCCTTCCAGAACGTCTGTTCACTTGTGAGCTAATTTCTTGCCATCCATGAACAGCAAACAATTAGAAAGGCAAATGGCATGGTGACCTTCACTGGAAGAGAGTTCCTTTACAGGAGAAAGAAAGCCTTCAGTTAAAGAGACCGTTGGTGAGATCAGTCACCCAGAGTGTTTTGTGTAGTTTTCATCTCCTTTCTTAAGAGAAAACACACTTGGCATAGGTTCACCAGACTAATTCCTAGAATGGTGGTTTTGTTGAATAGGAAAAGATTAAACCGACCGGGTCTGAATTTACTAGATTTTAGAAGAATGAGAGGCGATTTGATTGAAATATATAAAATTCTTCCAGAGCTAGTCAGACTGGATGCAAGAATGATGTTTCACCTGGGGAAATCTAGAACAAGAAGTCACAGTCTCAGGATATGTAATAGGCCATTTCAAACTTAAATGAGGAGAAATTTCCACCATTTAAACACCCAGCCTATATTGAGAACCATTCCATTGACATACAGTCTCACCATGTCTTGCTACTTTTGTTGTATAAACCATTGATAAGCTAATCATTCCTTTGTACTACTTTCAACCCAAATTCTCCTCACAGCCTCACTTTGTCTATCTGAATCAGAAAATTCACTTAACACTGTACTTTCAAGATCCCAATATTCTAACCTTTGGCCCTTGTTTGCTACAATATTTCTATAGCTACTGATTTTCTCAAGTGCACCCTTACATTCATCTTTGATGCCTTTGTCCCCAGTACAAATATTACTCTTCCTCCCTATGGTATAGCCTTCATCTTTTTCTTCCTTTCAATCCTAAGAATGCAGACTTGAAATGATGTGACTGATAACTGGTTTAGCTGTCCATCACCAAAAATGACTGGCGAGTTGAGTCTAACTCTAATCATCATCTAAAACTGCTTAGTTCATCCTGGGATGTAAAGATAACTTCTGGCATTTTTACTTTACTGCGAGCCATTTTCTTAAGCCCATTTTTCCAGGTCTTCCACCCTCCGTTCCAAAAATGGATACAAAGAATAAGATCAAGACATCTGACCAATTGTCCTGTGTCACTTCTTCCCTTCTCTCAGCCTTTAATGCTACTTGCTACTTAGGCCTGAACTCTGATCTTTCTCTTTTCTCCCCTATCTCCCATCTTGGCCTCCCTAAGTTCATTGTGTTTAATATAAAACCGTTTGCCACCTAGCCCCCCTGATATTGTTAGCAGATCTCTCTCCAGATGGTCTTTTTCTTTCCTGTAAAGTAACATTACCATGAATTTCAGAAACCAATACTTGACCCCACCATCCTTGCAAGCTAACACTCCATCCCCGACTTTCCTTCCCTTTCAAATCCTGAAACAACATCATGCCTCCCAATGTGGAGCCCATTTTCTCTAGCATACCATATTTGGCAGAGACAGAAATGTGACTGGAAGGTTTCAGATTATCAAAATGGCCGTCACCAAGGTTCGAATCTTGTATGACTGTGACAAAGTTTGCATGCCTCCCATCCTCTTGCTTGTTGCCTGTATACAGCCTTTGACACAGTTGACTACACCGTCCTCATCCAGTGCCTCTCCATTATTGTTCAGTTGGATGGGACTGCATTGACCTGGTACTACTTTTGTTTATAGTCATAGGCAGACTTGTAACAGTTTCTCTTCCTGTTCTTGAAATGTTAGCTCTGGTGTCCCCACCCCCAAAGATCTATCCTTGATACCACTCCTATTCCTCCATGAGCTGTCTCTCAGAGATATCATGTGAAAACACCAGTTGTTACTGACGCGCAGAAATTTCCTCTAATTTAAGTATCAGGAAGACCAACTTTAGGCAGTGTCATGGAGAAAGTAACGGTTGCTTCTGGAAGGTCAATAATAAGTGCTTTTTTGTGTGGGACTTTCTAGAGTTGTGGGTCAAGGGGAAATTGGAAGCAAAGGTAAGTTGTTGGTTGTAAGCAGCCAAATCCCTTGATCATACACAGGCTGGAGCAGATTGAGCACACATACATACATGTGTGCACGCACGCCCACCCAACGATAGGTTGTGCTCACTGATCAAGTGGGTTAATTGTTACTTATCCCACCTACAACTAAGATGATTGCAGCGCAGGTGGGAATAAGCACTTATTCAACCATTTTTGGGTCTGATTTCGCAGCAGGAAAGATTGAGCAAGCTTGGACCTTGCCAGCTAGAGTATAGTTCAGGTGGAGGCAGGAAGGCAGCAGGATTCTGGTACTCCGGCACTCAGATAATTACAATGCCTTCCCAGCTTGAAGACCAGAAAATTCCAGCTTCTGTTTCTGTAGTTGCTGCCTGATATGCTGTCTCATTCTCCAGGGTGAGAAGGTGAGAATGTACAATTCCTCTGCTACTGAAGCAGCTCATGCCCATTTGCAGCAATTGTCAGGTATGACCTCTCCTTTATGAAGCCATGCTGACTCAGCCCTATTTCACAATGCATTTCCAAGTACTCCGCAATCTCAACCATACTAATGGACTCTGCAATCTTAACAACAATCAAGGTCAGCCTAACTGGGCTATAGTTTCCTGTCTTCTGTCTCTACCTTCTTTCCCAGGGGTGTTATATTACATTAGCCATTTTCCAATCCTCTGGGACCCTCCCTGACTCCACTGATCACTACCAATATCTCCACAATCTTCTCAGCTTTCTCCTTCAGAACCTGAGATATAGTCCGTCTGGTCTGGGCAATTTATCCACCTTCAGACTTTTCAGCACCGTTTCCCTAATAATGGCCACTACACACACCTCTGGATCTTATGAAACATTATAACACTTTTCAAACAGTGGTCCTATATCCCAAGAACTGCAGCAGTTCAAGAAGGAATCTCTCCACCACCCTTGCCAAGGCATTTAGAGATGGGCAGTGAATGCTGGTATGTCATATTGATGAACTTTTTTTAAAAAAATTATTTCTTATCTTTAACATTTTTATATTTTGTCAAGTAGGAAATGTCTGACCTCAACAAGTACACTCCTCCTCCTCAATCTTCCGACCTTTACATAGCTGCTAGTAAGCACTTCCAGCAGGCTAAGATGATACTGGAAAACATCCCAAACCCAGACAATGAGGTACTGTGTGCTTAGTGCAGAATATATTTACAAATGAAATATAATTGATTCTTGGCAAAACGGTTTTACATTTTGTATATTGGATTTGTAGAGCCTTAAGTGCGCATCCTATTGTTTCTATTTGAATGGCTTATTTTAATTTCACATATCAACATAATATCACCTACTTTCATAGGTGATATTATAAACAGGGGCCATATGTTTATTGTATTTATCTTGTGCAATGTGCAATCATGCTATATGTCCCTTTTATTGAATTGTACCTGTTAATTATCTTTGGTTGATACAGTATGGAGCTGGAGGAACACAGATCAGGCAACATCAGAGGAGTAGGGAGAGTTGACATTTCGGGCCTAGACCCTTCTTCAGGACTTGTCAGGGGGGTGGGGGGAAGGCGAGAGGGAGCTGGGAAATAGAGGAAAGAGGGATGGGGCTGGAGGAAAGCCTAATCCCATGTCCAACCCTCCCTCCTTGACCTGACACTGCCAGTCTATCTCCTTCCCCACCTAGCTGCCTCACCCTTCCCACTGACAAATCCCCACTACCCCTACCTGCATCCACCTATTGCCACCCCTCTTCCGTCTATTTATTTCCCAGCTCCCTTCCCCCTCCCATAGCCTGTCCAATCCTTCTGCAAACTCAGTAATAATGCCCTCAGTTGATGAAGGGTCTAGGCCCGAAACTTCGATTCTCCTGCTCCTCTAATACTCCCTGACCTGCTGTGTTCCTCCAGCTCCACATTGTATCAACTCTGACTCCAGCATCAGCAGTTCTTGCTATCTCCGAATTACCTTTGCTAGTCTGTTTATAACTCGTTCCCCCAATGGCTTGGAATTTGTTTTTCAGGTAAATAGAATTTTGAAAGTTGCAAAACCTAATATTGTGGTGATGAAGCTGCTTGCAGGAGGCCACAAGAAAGACTCTAAGGTAAGTTGTAGACTTGGAGAAATACTGTCATGTTTGTTTGCAGAAATAAATACAGGAACACACAAAGATATATACACATACACATAGATATCTATCTCGGACAAGGTAGGGCACCTGAGCCATACCCAGGTACGTTTAAGACAGTGGACTACCAAGGTGTAAGCCATTATCTGATGAGACAGAAGAGTATCAAAACGAACTTGATTGCCACCCCATTTTGGACCTTAAATATACACTGTGTACCAGTTTGTAATTCACTGGGAACCAGGAATTGTACACAAAGGATGCCAAGGTAAAAATCTGAACAGGAACACTTTATTTTTCAACACTCACACCTCCACAGCTTGTACTAGGCTGAGCCCTCAGCTCCACCTATGCAATTCACCTGATCAGCTCTCCTAAAGAGGCAGCACCCCAATTACTCTCATAAGTGACAACAGTGTATTCCATCTACAAGATGAACTGCAGCAACTCACCAACATTCCACTTAGAGTCATAAGAGAGGTACAGTATGGAAATAGACCCTTCAGTCCAACTCGTCCATGCTGACCAGATAATCTAAATAAATCTAGTCCACTTGCTAACCTTGGCCCATATCCCTCTAAACCTTTCCTATTCATGTGCCCATCCAGATGCCTCTTAAATGTCATAATTGTACAAGCCTCCACCACTTCCTGTGGCAGTTCATTCCATTACATGCACCACTCTCTGTGTGAGAAAGTTGCCCTTTAGGTCCTTTTTAAATCTTTCCCCTCTCACCTTAAAACCTATGCCCTCTAGTTTTGGACTCCTGCACCTGGGAAAAGACCTTGTCTACTCATCCCATCCATGCCCCTCAAGATTTTATAAACCTCTTTAAAGGTCACCCCTCAGCCTCCAGAACTCCAGGGAAAACAGCCCCAGCCTATTCAGACTCTCCTATAGCTGAAACCCTCCAACCCTGGCAACATATTTGTAAATCTTTTCTGAACCCTTTCAAGTTTCATAACATCCTTCAAAGAGAAGGGAGACCAGAATTGCATACAATATTCCAAAAGAGGCCTAACCAATCTCCTGCACAACCTCCCAACTCCTTTACTCAATGCACTGACCAATAAAGGCCAAGCATACCAAACACCACCTTCGCTATCCTATCTACCTGCAACTCCACTTTTAAGGAACTATGAACCTGCACTCCAAGGTCCCTTTGTTCAACAAGTCTCCAGGACCTTACCATTAAGTATATAAGGTCTGCCCTGATTTACCTTTCCAAAATGCAGCACCTCACATTTATCTAAATTAAACACCATCTGTCACTCCTTGGCCCATCTGAGCACGATCCTGTTGCACCGTGAGGTAACTTTCGTCACTGTCCACTACACCTCCAATTTTGGTGTCACCTGCAAACTTTACTAACTATTGCTCTTTCACTGTTGCTGCGTCAAACTCCTGAAACTTACTTCCTAACAGCACTGTGGGTGTTCCAACACCTCAAGAATTGGTGGTTCATGAGACTAATTGATTAAAAGCACCTTCTCAAGGGCCACCAGGGATGAGTAATAAGTGCCTACAGTCTCCATATCCAGTGAATGAATAAAAAGGAAATTTAAACCATGAACTGTTATTAAGTATTATTAGAATAATTCACTTTTATCTTGATTTTTTGCAAATATGCTTTCAGTTCTGGTGGCTATTAATAAATGTTTATTCTTACACAATTTCAAATTTTACAGTTTATCTTTTCATGGCTCACAAGTGCCATTTAATATGAATAGGCAAAAGTTACACATACTCTTAGAATTGTTGCATTGTTTTTGTTATCTGAATTAGGTTCCTTATTGTAGGAGGAGGAAACAGGACAGAACATTTTTTGAATTTTGGCATCCTGGAGTGTAGCATATGGGCCAAGTTGTCTTTTGTATCAATTATTAAAGCATATAACAGGATGGAGGCAGATGGATATTCTGGTCCTGGCCTAGTCTAGCCTGTTATATTTAAATGGTGAGAAATTTTTGATGTCCAAAGAGACACATTGTCCTTGTTTAGAAATCACTGAAAGCAGGTGCAAATAGGCTGATACTTGGGTAGGGAGGGACTGCCTTATGAGGAGAGGTTAAGTAGATAGACCTATTTTCTGATCATACAATTGATTATTTTGGTTTGATTTGCAATGATTCCTTTTTTTCAAAACTTTCTGCTTTAATCTGTCTTTTACTCTTTGTACGTACAAAGGATTGAAATCTATACATTTGTTTGTATAGAAGATTTTAAGACTCCAAATTATTGATTTTAAACATGATGACTGACTGCTTTCCATTGGCTTGCAATTTTAGATTTTAAGATGGTGAGGATAACAGTGGTAGAGAGACAATGCACAAGGACTGGAGATAAATAGTAAGGTTGGAGGATCAGCAAGCAGCTGAAGAGATCAAGGGGACAGTAGGTTAATTTGTGGAAGGGCTGATGACTAGTACATTGCATGCATTGGAAGAAAGTTAAAATATCTAAAGTTAGAAAATACAAGTATGCAAAGCAATTCTGTACTCCAGTCTTCCAGCATCATCAGACTGTTGCATTTCAAAAGCAATTAGTGTACAAGGTAATTTTTAAATTTAATTTCAGGTTCCTCCAGAATTCGATTTTTCTCTTCACAAATACTTTCCAGTCGTCAAGTTAATTTAACTCCAGCAGAAATAATGGCCGTGGATGCAGTTTGTATATTGAGCTGCAGTTCAAGACTTGAAACATTTTGCTCCAGGTGTGACAATATTCCAGAATGCTAGAAAGGGTCTATGTAAAATTCAGAGCCTTTGCACATCAACAGCATATGCTGCTGTACTGTTAATTTTTTAAAAAAATTAAATTTGTTTTGTTGATAATTGATGAATGTCAAGTCCTTCACTCCAGGACAACCAATCTACATGTTGGTGGCTGTAACATTTTTACAATGAGTTCCAGAAATCTTCTCATTCATAAATTACCAATTAGTGTTGTATTATTAGTATTTGTTAGGTCAGCATAATTGTTTCTCTTTCCCAGAAAAGAAAATCCAGGCAACCTATGGAAGATATTTCTAAACAATCTGTTCAGAGATGTTATTACACAACTCTGGAGCAGGTGGCACTCGAACCAGGTCTCCTGGTTCAGAGGTAGGGTCATATCACTGTACCACAAGCCCACTCAAGGTGGGAAGACATGTAAGTTTCTAAAGGCCTGACGTGAATGGGCTGGACGCTGAAATAAGTCAACTAACAAGAATCAGCCCACTGTTACAACACTGTCAAGTTAGGTGTTACAATCTTATGGAGTACAATTATCTGACAGAACTACCCCGTGTCGCAAGTTTTTTTTTGATTATAAGTTCTATTAACTTGGCACCATAGCTTACAAAGACTCAAGTTCTAACCTTTTGAGGATTTAGTGAGCTAAAGGGCCTCTTCCATGCTATGATTCTATACACCACACCTAGCAATTCCTTGTATTGCAAGATCTTTAAGCCTCATTCACTTCTACTTTGGGACCAATTCAAAAGATATATCACTGCTTACCAGATTCACTGATTTCTTTTGATCATTCCAGCTATTCTTAACCAAACAACATTTCATTGGTATTTTTCCATGATATTTTGGTTAAGCAATCCTCAATTCTTTATCAACCTCATTCTGGATTCCACTGCTTCAGCACAGACTTCCCTGCAACTCATGCACAGTGGCTTAAAACATCAGAAAACATAAAACATAATTAATTTCAAACTGCAACTAGTCACTGAGTTTCTGGAACTACATCTGCAACAAAATTAAGCACCTTTGGAGGGGTTGCTGTAAATTGCTTGTTAGCTTGCAGCTAATCAAATCAAAAATTCTATAGAATCTTGAAATATGGTCACAATTGCATCCACTTTCTAGGTTTTTTCCTCAAGTACTCTGGGCTGTAGATTATCAGGCCCTGGGGATTTATCAGCCTTTTAATTCCATCAATTTCCCCAACACTTTTGGGATGTTATTTGTAGTCCTCCTTTATGAAGGCAGAACCTAAATATTTATTTAATTGGTCTGCAACTCTTTGTTCCCCATTATAATTTCCCCTATTTGACTGTCAGGGACATTTGTCTTCATTAATACTTTTCTCTTTGCATACCAGAGAAACTTTTACAAGCCTACTCTCACTCTTATTTTCTCACAGCAAGCACCCAACTCTAGTTTCAGTTCAGAGGTTGGTTATGGTCAATGTTTGGCAGCAGTCCCTCTTCAGTCAACTAAGGACTATTTAGCACTTCAGATTAAGCCATTTGGTTGAAGTGCATGACACATGCTGTAGACAATGCCATACATGTCTTTGTCTGAAGAAACAAGTAAGCCAGTCCTGTTAATTTATGCATGAAGTAGAAATATGCTAAAAGGCAGGCAGTGATGCTGTCAACATCCAAGGACAAAGTTATTAAATGCAAAGAAAGTCAACTAAAAACCCGGAGATGGATCTTGTGTAGATGCATAAAATGGGTGTGTTTCTGTGCAGAGTGACCTTCCAGGAGCATTACAATGCCAGGATTGGTGAGCTGCAAAATGCACCAGCGACAGTGTTAGAGTTAGTGCAAGATCTACTACAATAATCGATGAGACTGATTGTCACCACTGGCAAACATCAGTGGAGACAACTGCTGTCCATTGACAGTGTCATGTGACATTAGTGAATGAGGTTAACAAAATCCCATAGAAGCAACTGGCCAGAACACCATGTACCGCCTGACATAAGTCAGGAGTTGGTGCCATTTAGTTTCTCTCCAGTGCCTGAGGGAATTGGAAAATGCATATAGATAAAGTGAGATTAATGAATAATGAGGTGGAATTGAGGTCCTCACTGTTTATCAGTCAAATTCACAACAAGCTGTTGAAACCTTAAGGGGAAGAGGCAGACCTTTTATTCCTTAAATTCAAGGATCAAATCATTTTATTCACTATTCACCTATGTTTTTTAACACAGCCAACACCACTGATTCTACCCTCCATTTTAATTCTAAAGCTTTCCTTAATTCTGGGCAATTATAATCAAATTATCCTTTACTGGAATAACTACAAATTACACATTTCTGAAAACCCCCACTACTGTTTGCAGTCTTGGTCTGCTGGCCCCAAACTTTTCAGACGCTAGGTTGACTCAAGTGCAGTTAACTTCAAACCTGTTTGAATTATTTACTTCAGAATTGCTTTTAATAATTCTGTAATAAGATACCTCTATTTTCTAGTCCAAAACATTCATTCTTAAGACACTCACTTCACCATTAAACTGAGCATCAGTGAATGGTTAGCCCTTTGCAAATGCTACTCAATGGTACCACTAATGACCCCTTCCAATCACTTTGCTGATGATTGACAGAAGACTGATAGGGTGGTAATTAGCCAGATTGGATTTTTCCTTTTTATGCACAAAGCTGGGCAAGTTTCCACATTGTCTGATCAATGCCAGTGTTCCAGCTGTATTAAAGAGCTTGGTGCGCAGCCACAGCAAGTTCTGGAGAGCTGTGCTCCAGTACCATTGGCTTTGCTGTATCCAATGTCTTCAGATGTTTCCAAACATCACCTGGACTACTGACCTATACCTAATACAAATAGCATTGAAGTGGATTCTTTCAACTTTCAAACAGTACTTAGTGACCACACATTCTTGTAACCCCTTACTCTGCTTACATCTTATGTCGTCAACCACTTTCAGTTGCTTCATCAATAACCTTCCCTCCATCAAAAGGTCAGAATTGGGGATGTTCGCCAATGATTTCCACAATGTTCAGCACCATTCACAATTCCTCAGATACTGAAGCAGCCCATGTTCACATGCAACAAGATCTGCATAATATCCAGGCTTGGGCTGACAAGTGGTAAGTAACACTTGCACCACACAAATGCCAGGCAATTGCCATCCCTTGACATTCAATGGGATTACCATTGACCAGAAACTCAACTGGACTGGTCTCGGAAACAGTGGCTAAAAGAGCAGGTCAGAGGCTAGGAATACTGTAGTGACTGACTCACCTCCCAACTCCCTCAAGCCTGTACATCTATAAGGAGGATGTCGGGAGTGTGACGTAACACTCAAGAAGCTTGACACTATCCACAACAAAGCAGCCCGCTTGATTTGAATCATATCCACAAGCATCCACTCCCTCCACCACCGATGTCTAATAGCAGCAGTGTAAGATGTACTGCAGAAATTCATCGAGGACAAGGGCAGCAGATACTTGGGAACGCCACCACCTGTAATTTCTCCTCCAAGCTGCTCAGCATCCTGACTTCAAAAGTGTATCACCTTTCCTTCACTGTCACTGGCTCAAAATCCTGGAATTCCCTCTCCAAAGACATTGTGGATCTACTACAGTATGTGGAACTCAGCAGTTTAAAGAAGGCAGCTCACTACCACCTTCTCAAAGGCAACTAAGGATGGACAATAAACATGGGCCAGGCAGCAATGCCCACATCCCAGGAGTCAGAGATAAAAGAAATAATGTATGCAATTCTGAAACCATTAATTTAAAAATGTATTTGTTACTAATTCCTCTGCAGCTTCTCCTGCTTTGCCAGAAGTATTGTGGAAACCTTAAGATATATAATTTCTACAGCAATTACAGCTTGAGGAAGTGCCCAACTTCTGTGGAATTGAATTAACAGAACAGCATAATGATGATTCTTGCACTCATTTAGGAGAGCAAGCTTTACAGCAGGTAAACATTTAACATTTTTTGAAGGAAAGCAGGCTGGTAAGAAAGTCATTCTGGGTCTTCTAATATTCTCAGTACATATGCAGACATAAGCACAACATTTGACTTTCACATGAAAAACAAATGTAAAGTCCCACCAGTCAGTTAGTTCCCAGAGAATGTCACAGTTGGTTATCTTTGTAAACAGCAAACATGGCTGACTATACTTGAATGATAAATGATGCATGTGCAGAGCACATTTACTTCTGGAAAATCACAGATGACCCCATGGAAGGAAACTATAGCTAAAAGGAGATGATAAATGGCACTTCTACTCATCTTATTAAGCTTACTTAGTACATTTGAGATTTATTGTGTTTCAGAAAAAGACAATGTCATTTTTGTATTCTGCAGTGTTCAAAATAATCCAATAGTGGTCACTCAATTGGACTACACTGCACAAAACATAAATAGTCATTTTTCAATTATATATCATGTGCTGAAGGTGTTTTTCACCTACAGCATTTATTATTTTACCTCCCTAGTTCAGGAAAATTACAGACAGAACTTTCCTGGTTCCTTCTCACCTTATTTAGTGAAAAGCATAATCAAGAAAGTATGTCCATTTCAACAAATTTAAAACTTAAACTTAAATTTAAAAATAAATCATGTCACCCTATAATTCTTATTTAAATGAGGAAATCTAAAAGAAAAAATCCCTATTTTTACATATGGAACAAAGTAATGCTCAAATGAATAGTAATCACATAATACACAACTGTAGAATTAAATCTGGAAGTCATTTATTAACATCAGAACCAAACCAAACCAAATTTGAATACAATTCCAAATCCTCAAAAACATTTCAAATATAGATATCTGAAATTTAGTTAAATACAAGGCAATAAAGATTATTCATGAATTTTGGTAATACAACTACGAATGAGTTTTTGAAAAAAAAAAATCCACAACCAACACTAGAAGAAATTCTTATTGGGTAACTTCCAAATAGACTGCAGGATGAAGTACTGTGCTACTTATGTTTAATGGGGCAGGACCTGCAAAAGCAAATTCTATGCAATTGTCACGTAACGTAATTGAAATTAAATTACTGGCCAAGTTACCTGTGAATAAAAAAATGGAAACTTGCCCAAAGCATAGTGGAGAAGAACAAAAATTCTATTTAATGGTAATGAAATTAATGACAACCCAATTTGCAAATAACTTCCATTAGCCCAGTGGCAAGCTTCACAAAGTAAACATTTATTGACAGAACAGTACAGCCAGTATCATTTTAATGACACGTTATAATTTTGTAGGAACTTTAATAAAAAAAAGCCACGTCATTCCCCTGCTTATAAAGGCACCAAATGTAAATGAGACAAGGTTCCTTCTTGCCCTTCTTTTGTGACACAACAAAAGATTTTACAAGTAGAAAACATGCTTCAGATAAAAATACAAAACGGTAAAATAAAATTTTCATCAGGATAAAGTTACCAAACTAATTTCAAAGTTTAAATGAGAAAAATGTATCAACAGAAACATAACTACACTGCTTTTAAAACAAAGACACATAACTGGCTTTTCCTTGTTGAGATGGCTAAACAGAAAATAATGGAATCTAATATTTTTCTTTGTTAAAAGAATTTGGCCTGATGGATTAGTCTTATTCGAGAAGTATTTTAATTTTAGATAATAGAAAATTGATCTCTCAGTGGAAAGAAAAAGGAATATGCACCCCAACCTCAATGTCCTCATGCCCTGATAATGCAGTGCAGCAGATAAACTGCTACAAAAAAATGAAAGTAGCTTTAATTCCATTTTCAACCCTGTCTCTTCAGAGGCCAACACTGGGTATTTTCTCCATGAAGAAATTCAATTACATTTACTGTAAGCTCATCCTGAGATCAGTGACATAAGATAATTAAAATTTTCACATCTTAGCAATTTAAAAAGCTATCCAACCAAAAAAAATATCTCAGCAATAATTTTTCTCCAAACATCCACCAACAGTAGGAGATACACTACACAACAAATACATGTAAAGGTTGACCACATCTTCTAGACATTTCAGAATCTTTTTTAAATAATGAACTTATCCTTGAATATCTACTTCACCCACAGATGAAAAACAATTCTTTAACTTTTATGTATAGTTAAAATAGAAATTCTTAAATTCTACATTGAATTAGATTCCTATTATAACAGACTTGCTACTTTAAACAAATAATAAGGAACTAATATCTAGATTATGAAATCATTAAATTATATCACTTCTGAATAGTGAATGTAATAAGGTTTAGAGCATCAAATTTCAATACTGGTCTGCTCAAGCATTCAACAAGCCATGAGTCTGAATTTGTCTCAACTGCTTAATACAGTTTATTACTAAATTTTGTTCAAAACTATAAAATCTCCTACACTCTTCACTTTCTAACTATTTATGGAATGCCCATGGTATATGATTGGTACCAGTTCCTTCTATTTTGATTTGAAGCCCCTACCATTTTTAAAAGAAATGAGATTTTGGGCATGGTCAACAAAAGATGTGCAATATCAACAAATAAGAGATAAACTCAATCAACAATTTTCACAAGGTTTTCTTCACAACATTGGTCCCAAGTTAGCATTTTCATTTGGATTAAGAATTCTGTTCACAGCTTCTTCACTGTGTCTTTCTAAATATTCAAAAAAGAAAAAAAGTGTGTTAGTATCAATCATTATTTAGAACTACAAACTATGTTGACAGCTAAATCATAATTAAGGGAGAACTTTGTAAATGAAACACCAATTAGTATCAAAATTTCAGGTAATGGGTACATTTTGAAAGTGATCATTTAGCTTTCAGAAGAAAAAGTATTTTATTATGTAGTTCATACCATAACCAATACAAATTACGCAAATTTTGATTAATTCAAAGCACATCCATGCATATTTCGAAGGCAAGATTTATCATGCTTTAAATATAATTCAGTCTTCACACAAAACTGATGAGGTCATGAAAAAAGGAATGTCTATCAGCTCATAGGCCCTTAAGGAGTTATACAAGCATATACTAGATATGCAAAGCCACACACAGTTCTGCATTTCTAACCAAGTCATACATGCTACACTCTAGTTAACTACCAGAGGAAACAGGAACAGAATGGAACTGAAGCAAAGTGGCAAACACACAGAATATTTTTAAAAGATATTGGAAGACAGAATATCTCCAAGGCTTCCCTAGTGCATGAACTGTCAAGCAATTGTTATGTTTTGTTTCCTCAAAATCACAATTAGTCTCAGTATGGAAAGAAACTGTCTGCTTCAGAAGGTTGTGGTGTCTTAACAAAATAATCATGTTGGCATCACAGATCTTTGTTAGTGGAAACATAGTACTTCAAAATGTGTACCAAGCATTGGCATCATTTGGCAAAACTCATTAGAAAATATTAATTTGCAAAGGAAAAGGAAGGAGACCAGTTGGAGGCTTGGGATAACTGAAACCCTAAGTAACCAAATCTGAAATCAGGAATCAGTCAACTGATTGTGAAAGTCCAGAAAAAAAGAGTAACATATTAAAAATGTATGCTACACAAAGACCGTTATACACTAGTCATTAAATGAACTTTCTATTGGCATCAAGAATGTTCCTAATATAATAGTGTTAAAAGTTGTGTAGAATGCGGGGTTCCTTTAAGAGATAAAGTGCTTTACTAAGCTTAGAGATTTATACAGAAAAAATAGTGTTCACACGTAGCTGAAGATATACAGCCAATTCTAAAATTGAAACGTGTCAACTGGCTGCGAGATTGGAAATCTTAGGCCTGTTTTTGATTTTTTGGCAGTGAGCTGGAATCGGCCAATTAACTTAAACCAAGCACTTAGCTATTGAAAGCCAATTGAATTTAAATCTGATAGTTTTGACAACCTCGGACCACAATGCTATTGTAAGAAAATGGATATATCATCCAAGGTATATAAGACAAGGGTATGTGAACAATCGGTGAGAGAGCGAACCACCATCTAAAAAATAGGCACCTAGCTCTCACAAGAAATCGCTAAGCTCTCTAAGAAAGCACCATTTTATCCATAAAGGGTACCGTGGCACTTCTAACTAAGAATCTTCACAGAGAAAACATCCACTTCCTTGACAGCAGGATCAGCGGAAGAAAGGCGTTCATGACATGACAACAGCAAAAGAATTACGTTTATAACTGGAGAGACAGTGGAGAAGGCAAGCCGAGTCAGCAGTTAGGAAGCCAACAGAATGGTGAGAGGGAGGATAACAGGATGGGAACATGTGGTGTTGGCAGGTGATGTGCAGGATAGGCAGCAAGCAGGAGGCAATTAGAAAGAAGGGTTAGTACATTTATTTTATATTTTTAAATATATTTTATTTGAAAAGTTGTTCCATTTACCAATATTGGAATTTAGCAATGTAAAATCCTTTAAATTTAAAAGATTTTCTAATGTGAATATTGTTATGCAGAACCTAAATACAGTTTTTACATTGCTTTTAATAGGAAAACTAAATTGCTTGAAGTTGTTTCACCTACAAGTTGCACTTTTGGAATGCAGCTACAACTCTAAAATGAGGATTTGCTGTACGCAAACATTTTAAAGGGAGATTTTTTTCACTTCTTTTAATAAAAATGCTTAACTAGACACCTGTTAAATCATTTGCAAGTTCTGCTTCTTTGTCATTCTCAGATTCTGCAACATTGCCCTCATCTCCATTATAATCTGCAGTTTCTTTCCCTTTCAATGTATTCAGCAGCTCTTTCTGATTTTGATATTCATCATCTGCAGTTTGAGGGAGAGGGAAAGAAGAAAATGCAAATAAAATGTAAAAAGCTTAGCTATCAGGGAGATTAGAAAAAACTGACAATATTCCTGACATAATAAATGAACGATGGCAATTATAGCTCCACTGACCAGTGGAAATGGATTTGGTGTGTACAGGGATTCCATTTTTACATTTGCAAAGAACAAGTTTAGTCAGAAAAGGTTATGAATTTACCACTTCGAAACACAAACAGATCAGCCACAAAGGCAAAGCAAGGCTCAAGGGGCTGAATGTACTCTGCTATTTCATATTTGTATTCAGAAACTGCAACTAAATCCAACTGGTCTGGCCACCTCTAGCTGGTAGTCTTGCAGCCAGAGTGTATGTTCCTACAGTCAAGATTTAAGAACTCAAGACATAGGTGGACTCAGTTGTTCAGCCTCTTCAGACTGCTCCACCATTCAATAAGATCATGTTGATCAGAATGCATCCTCAACTCTATTTCCTTACCCATCATCTAAAACTCGAGATTCGCTTGTAGTTAAATTAAGTCTAATAATTCCAAAGATTAACAGCCAAAGAAATTCTTCCTCATCTCAATCTTAAGGGGACAGAATTTCACATTTAATATCTCGTGTAAAGTATAGTTCTCCCCAAGTAATTTACTAAAGTGGCAGCCTAGGTTATGTGCCCAAGTCCATCATAGGACTTAGATCCACACCTTTCAAGTAACTTACAGATGTAAAAGAAGAATTCACTGCAACATACTTTCAGTAAACAATTGCCATTTACTCATCATTGCAGTTCCACCCTGACAGTTACAAATGCAAAATTATAATATACTGAACCTGCAATTCTTCTGGATTGTAAATTTTCATAGTCAAGCCTTGTTCGATTTTTATCATCAAGCGTGCCTGCAAAACAATCTCACATTAACTCAGTCTTGATGGTTATTGACAAATGAAAATATAGGAACAGATTTTTCTTCTGATCAGGCTACACTATGGACCATGTGGGAAACAGTCATTCAATGTAGTTTTTCCTCAAGATGGTCAATTAATTGCCACACCACCAAATGACGATAGTAGGCATGTTCTTGAAGCTGCAGGACTAGAGACACATTAGCTTTAAAAGAGCAGCAAGCTGACATAGAACAGAGGGAGAGGATGCTTCAAAACTTATACACCATCTTCCCAATATTTTTAATTTGTGTCTTGCACAACTCTGTATGCACAAATGGGGAAAGGGATGGAGCAGAAGAGAAACCTTATTTTCAATCCCTGCCCACCTCCTTTCCTAATATCAGCAGGGCCTAAATTCAAGATTATATCACCTTAGTTACCCTTGAGGAAGAGAAATGTCAATGAGAAGTCATGCAGCAAGTGCCAAGAACTTTCAGAACATAGCAAATTAAATACCTGAAAGCTATCTTAAAATTTAGAGATTCCACCCCTAACTGTTGTCAGAAACTAAATGGTTCTCATGCTGCTATAACAATATCAAAAATAAATCAAAGAATAAATGAATGTCATAGAGAATTTGAATCTGCTACCATAAATGCATTTTTAAACCGTCATTAGGGTACGTTCAAATCGGTATAAAATACCACAGCTAACAACTTAGGGATTTGAGTATAAAAGAAAGTCGGAATGCATTGAATCCACAATGTTGAACTGGATTTTTGAAACATTTTAAAACCAAATAAACATCAATAGGAAACCTACGCTTATGGGTGTTCACTATTAAATGAATGAAAGATACATTCAAATCGTGCATTTTAAAATTCATACCTGTATCTAGTAATGTGTTTGTAATTTCTTGAGCAACCTTTCTAGATGTTGCATCGTGTTCAAATTCATTTGTCTTATGTTCGACTTTATTTATTTTCTCAACTTCTGGGTGGTCTGTCTGGTCTTTGTTTTGTCTTGAAAACAGCAGCTCTTTATTTGATAGTTCAGTGTTACGTTGTCTTTCTGTAGGCTTCTGCTCAGTCTGCTGGACAGTGATTAGGAAATTTGTCATTCACTTAAATGTTTAGAAATTAATTAGCAACTTTAAAAACTGCCATATTCTATCTGGTTTAAAATATTTTTGTGTCGATAGGGAGAGGCAAGAGGAAGTGGCAAGTAATTGGGTTTGTGATGCTTGCATTGTTGGATTTGTAAAACTGACCCTATCTACTGTTCCTACAAACTAAATTATTTCAACCACGTGCTCTAAACTGTCAATTCTCTCCCAAACACGCATGTCACAGTTATGTATTAAAAGAAGCTCGTTAAAGGAAGCTATGCAACAATTGCACGCACTCCAAAAATTGCACACTGATGTTAAAACTGAAATATTCTGAAATGCAAGTACACTTATTCCAGAAATAATGAAATAGTATAAACAACAGGCAATAGAAAATAAACTGGTACAAAGGCACACTGAGGGCAACCTACAAAAATATTCAAAGATGGCAGGACATGTTGGAAAGAACATACAGGATACAAATAGTTTTTTGGTGGTTCAGAATTTGAGTATTGTTGAAAAAAATACATTTTGTCCAAACTTCTCATTTTACACTCATCTGGACATTTCACAAGAATATAAATTCAAGGTGAAAATCAACATTTATACTGCACGAGAGGAGAGTACACATTGGCTGGCAATGAACTCTGATAGGTAGAGGTGGTGCCATGGAGAATGCATCTCTCAATGCTGATTGACAGTTAACAGCCAAGCTTTGTTAAGTTTTAAACCAGCCAGGTTGATTCAGATTAGGCAAGGCACTGCCATAAGAAATGAACAGTTGACCAACTGGTAGCTATCTTATTGAGCTGAAACAGTGTTGTGTCAATGTGCCTGGTTTAAAATTGGATTGGTCAGTGCATTGGCCTGAAAAATGAACCAGTGAATGACCATCACCTACTTCGCTGAGTTGTAACATATGTTCTTTCTGCTTACCAACAGGGTCTGTTTTTTGCAAACATAAAGAATATTTATACACACTATAGTTGTTTCAATTCAACAAAATACTTAACAGTCATTTAATTGTTCATTTCTTATGGCAGTCCTTGCCTAATCTAAGTCAACCTAGCTGGTAAAATTTAAAAAGCCTAGCTTTTAACTGTCAACTATCATTAATGGGTGGATTTACCATGGGAAGTCCTCTGTCAGAGTCCTCTGTCAACCATCAGCACTGTCCTCTGATGCAGTGTAAATGTTGGTTTGCCCCTTAAATATGTATTCTTGTGAAATGCAAGATGAATACATCTTGACAAGAGATGTATTTTTTTCCAGCAACACAAGCAGAATCCTACACTGTCTATAAATACAGGCATAAAGTACAAAAACAAGTTAGTTATGCTGGGGCACTGCAAATGCTGATTGAACCTCAGGTGGAGTGACATATCGAATTTTTGGCACCCCACTTTGGGAAGGATGTCAAGATGTTGGACAAGTTTGAAGGAAGATTTGCTAGACTAGTCTCAGAATCGAAGAAACTATAGAGGGGCTGGGATTGTTCCCATTAGAACACAAAAGATGACAGGTTGTGAACAGATGAGGAGAAACTGTTCTCTAGTTAGCCAATGGAAACAGATTGAAGATAATTGCATCAAGAACCAGGGTCAGAATTGGTAACGTTTTTAAAAAATAAAGTCAGCAAGTTATGATGATCTGGAATATATTGCCTGGAAGGTGACAGAATCAGATTTGCTAAAGGCTAAAGTAATAATGCATTTTACTCAATACCCTTTGTACCCACTTTTTCTAAATGTCACAAACTTTGAGCAATTATTTCAAAAGGTAGCTCAATGCTCTGTGTGAAAACTTTTGCTACCTTTTAATTTATTGTAAGCTTCTTAGAATTCTCTCTTTTAAAGATATTTCTTACGCACGAATTGTCACTTGCCAGGTTCTGCATGGTTTCTAATATCAGATATATTAAACCACTGCAGAGTTGCATCATCACTAAGCAGTTAATCTGAAGGTTTCAATTCAAGCAAATATATTTGAGAATAAAGGATATAGGGTGTGAGTCATAAAGAAAAATTAAAAGTGAAAAGAAAAAGCACATCCAAGGCTTTGGATTGGAAAACATATAGACTGTAAATGGATTGTGTCTTTACCAATAACTTGCTTTGATTAGTTGGCTCAGCATTTCTGTTTTCAGGTTGAAACTTTGTGGCCTCCGCAAGCCTCTTGTTTAATTCCTTAATTTGCTCTTCGTACAGCTCTTTCTGATCATTTATTTGGTTACTGCACTGAGTACTGAATAGTCAAATAAAAATAAATCAACAATTCATTAATTCTGCTTAAAATTGTCACTGAATTTGCTCGGGGACTTATGTCACAATACTGAATAATTAAGAGGTTCCAAATTTCTGCAAAGATGCTACATAGATTCAGTACACCAAGAAATACTCACCAGAGCTAGCATCAATAGAGAAAGAGCTAAAATTTCAAGCTGAACATTCCTCAAAACTGGGTCAAGTTGAGAATGTAAAGGGTTTTTAAATAATTCACATGGAGTGCGTGGGGAAAAAAGAGACCATCTGTGATATAATAGACGATAAGATGCATTACAAGCCAAAAATGTTGGGTGGAGTGAGATTAGGGCAAAATAAGCAAACGATTAACAAACTGGCACTTGGTGAAAAAGAAATGTCTGAGGGTTGATCTAATACAGATCTTTAAAGTTATGATATCTTTTATCAAAACCTATCTCCTTGTGGGGAACAGCATAACTAAAGACAGTGATACATGACAATTATCTAAAAATCCAATTGGGAACTCCAAAGAACGGTAAGAAATTAGAACTTACTACAACAAGGAGTGATTGAAATAATAGGCATATTTAAAAGGGAGTAGTCAAGCGCAAAAGGGAGAAGGGAATAGATACAATGGTAGATTTAGATTAGAAAAGATGGGAGGAAAGGCTCAAAATGAAACGTAAATATCAGCATAGACTGGTTGGGCTATGTCACACATCTGAGTTTTATATCCTATGTAATCCCATGTACATAATTGGTACTAATCCCACAGTTCTATGAAAGTAATCTAGGAGATAATTTTCATAGTTTCTATTTATTATAGATTTATTAGATTTCTTGACACAAATGGCGAGCAGTAAACTCATGAAATCTGCAAATGGCAAAGCGTACTGAAAACAAACATCAATTTTCCAGCTTTTTATGAAACATATTGGAATGGTTATTCAAATTAAAAGGCACTTTGTATGTACAAGTTATTTATACTCCTACGTCACAATAAAGTACAAAGTTAACTGTATTAATGAATTTCTGTATAATAAATACTGAAGAGCTCACATACTTACACATCATAGGTTAATTTTTTTTGCAGTTCCTGTAACTTTTGACTCAAATGGCTATATCCTTTTTGCAGCTCTTGAAATTGTTCTGAAGTAAAAAGAAGCATCTCTCAAAATACAGTCAGATAAACCAACTATCATTAGACTCCAAAGTGATTTCTAGTTAAATTCCTCAGTGGAATCAAAAACATCGTACGAACTGTCTCTTTTAGTTTACTCGAAAGATTTTTCTAGCCAAGCCATGTTGTCTGTGTCATCTAACGTTTTGCAGTTCAACCTGTTTTAATTCCATTTCACTTTCTTTTCCTTTCTCCTCTCTTTCCAATTCAAGCAATTTCACTCTCTCTCTCTACTTCAATTTATTCAATCTCAACCTTTTCCACTTGTTTCCCAACCCCCCATCCTCTAAATTTCTTTTTTCTTTCCTCTAATTACCACTTCTTCATTTCTAACTGAATCTTCTAAACAGCAACTCTCCTGTTTCCATTCTGTGCTTTCATGCACTCATTTCTAAAAATTCACAAATTTCTCTCAAATTCAAGTACATTTGGTACGATCCCAGCTAATGATAATAGACAAGTCAAATTCCAGTGAAATCTGGCTCAATAAATCATTTACTTTGCTTACCATGGAGGTCAGTCACTGAACATATTCACAAGATGCTGCCAATGTACTTTTAAAATAGAACATAAAAGATGTATTGTATAAATGAAACGAAAAACTCAGATTATATAAGAACTATTGGGAAAAGCTCATTTCAAATATCAGAAAGATTCATCTCTTTTACCTCAACAATACCCTTACGTATACTCAAACCTTCGTAAAAGCTACCCTGTTGCCACGCTAAAACTTCTTGCTCAGTGGTTTGGTTGTTGGTTTCCTTTCAACAAATTTGAGCTTTAACTGAAAAAAAAGCATTGAGTGAATGCCTGCCCCTAAGACCCTTAAAACAAACTGCTAAACTACTTAGCATGCATTCCCTAAACAAGTATTCAACAGCCATTCAGGTGGTCTTCCTTTTCAAGACCTCCACGGCCTTCTGCAGACTTCTTACCAGTTTTCTCAGCAACTCAGGATTTCTCCCCAGTACCAACTGCTTGGAGACTGCTAATAACAGCACCTCTGCTGCTATAAACCTCTTTCCTCTGAAAGAATGTGCTTCTGAAGCCATCTCTCACTTGGTTGTAGAATTCTAAGTCAGCAAACACCTTCAGAATTATCTCCCTGGACAGCAAGCCTCTGGTCATTTAGCTTAAATCACAAGACTTGTAAATTTTTAACTCAATGTACTCAGTGTTCAAAATGACTTGGTGACCCATTTAAAGCAAACACTCAGATCCAAACAGAATTGGAACCTAAAATCAAGCTTTCCTCTTCTATAGAATCCAAGTTCTCAAATAATAATACTCAATTATTATGCAAGTTCATTATTGGAGTATAAAACTGAACTACCAGAGTGGATTCTCATCATTTTGCAACACCATCAGCATCTGATTGAAGGAGTGGGCATAAGTCTTAAACAGCACATATACCCACTTCATCCTCGCACCCACTTTTAAAATTCACTTGTTGGACCAGTGTGTCGCTGGATGACGAGCATTTATTACCTGTCCCCAAGTTGCCCTTGAGAAGGTGGTGGTGAGCTGTCTTGAAGTCTTAGAGGTCTACAGCATAGAAATAGGCCCTTCAGATGAACTTGCCCATGCCACCAGTTTTCACAATTGAAACTAGTCCTATTTGCCGACATTTGGTCCATATCCTTCCATAATTATGTCATCCACTTACACGTCTAAATATTTCTTACATGTCAAAATTGTACTTGCTTCCACCACCCTCTGAAAGCACTGACTGCACCCCTTCCTCCCCCCCCCCCCCCCCCCCCCCCCCCCCCACCCCCACCATCACCATTTCCATCCTCTCCACACCTC